TGGCTGGGGAATTCTGGGAGTTGAAGTCCTCCAGGCTTAAAGTAGCCAAGGTTGGAGACCCCTGATATAAAGTGGAACTAACACTTCTTGGGCACAGAGGTGGCCCAGTGGCTCAAGGTCTTCCCCAGACCCAAGCGACGGCTGCTGGACCAACTAGCCGCAACTCAGAATAAGTTGGACGTCGCCCGAAGCGCGAAATACTCATAGAACGACAATCAAGTTTCCGTATTTGATGTATATGAATGGACTTCTTTTTTTTTTAAAAAAAGAAAAAAGTCCTCATGCCCAAACTTGGTTGGGAGACCTCTGTGAAGTGGCCATCCTGTGTCACGGGCCTGATATTGACAAAAATGGAAATAGAAGTGTGATGATTGAATAGCAGATGAATAAGAGTAAAGAGAAATAATGTGAAATCTGTAAAAATGAAATTTATATGTTTATATTGAAATGAGATAAATTAGAAAAATGTGATATAAAATAATGCGTTACCTGCTTTGTCAAGACCTATGGGAAAGCGGTTTTTTTTTTAGTGTTTGATGATGTTTTGTCCTGTTTGTTTCTTGTTAAAATTAATAAAATTTGTTTAAAAAAAAAACCAAAAATGTTCGGCGTCTGCCGAAAAAAAAAAGAAAGAAAAAGTCCCCTGTCTGTTGGAGCTTGTCTCTACGAAGAGCTTAACCTTCCCTCCTTGGGACAAAGAAGGGTATTTGATGAAATTGGATCTTCCTAACAAAGTTTAAATAGGAAATAAACAAGCAAACCCCCCACACACACACAGAAAAGGGAGGGGGGGCGGGTCTTTCCCAGCCCACGGACAGACTGGAAGAACCGGGAGTGGCCGGCTGAAGGCGGAAGAGCCGAGCTCGGTCCTCTCCTCGGGAAGGGGCACCATCCGCCCCGATTCCTCCTGCCCCCCCCCCGTCCCCAGGAAGGCCCCATTCTGAGTTTGCCGGCTGACCTGGTAATCCACCAAAAGCTCCGGTCCCTTGAAGTACCGGGAAGCCACCCTGACGTTGTACTCTTGTCCCGGGTGGTAGAATTCGGCCAGGCCCCAGTCGATCAGGCGCAGCTGCAGCCGGCCGTGGAATTGGGAGGGAAGAGTCGGAGAAGAAATACGATGAAATAAACTTCGGGGCCCTGAACTCAGAATTGTCTCGGGAGGAACGAGCCAGACATGTCAGTCGGTCAGTCAATCAATCTCTCTCTCCAGACAGACAGACAGGGGTCACTGCATGGACAGGGGTCTCCAAGCTTGGCCCCTTGAAGACCTAAGAATCGGGGAGTTGCGGCCCACAAGTCTTAAAGCAGCCAATCTTGGAGACCCCCGAGAGCCCCTCCTAGGAGGGCCGGCCCGTCAGAAGATGCCGTCAAGGCCCCGGAGCCCCAAAAGTCTTTTGACACGAGCTCAGAGCGGAGGAAGCTTCTTGGAGGAGAAGCGAAACGTAGACGAAACCCAGAAAGTCCAGCGGCCTCTTAGGAGGCACTTTTGGGGCAACTCTGACCTTTGGGAGGGAGACCCTCCGCAGCAGACGAGGCCACAGAGCTGCTCAAAGACAGCACCCACCCATCCACCTCAACTGCTTCCCTTCTGGGGGTAGGGGGGCTTCCTTCCCCCCCCCATGCGAGGCAGCGAAGGAGGGCGGGGCCCCTCCGGACCTCCCCCTCCCAGCCAAGGGGCTCACCTTCCGGTGCTCGTGGTCGATCATCACGTTGTGGGGCTTGACGTCCCGGTGCATGACCCCCATGCTGTGGCAGTAGTCCAGAGCCTGGGAGGGAGGGGAGAGCGGCTGGGTAGGGGAGGGGATGCCCCCCCCCCCCCCCCCCCCCCCCCCAGAGGAGCCCTGAAGGCTGCCCGAGGCCGGCCGGGGCTGTCTCTGCCGCTTCGGCCAAGGACTCGGAGGAGCCCAAAGGCTTCGGACGGGGATCAGGTCACCCTGCTCCAGCAACAGGGGGAAGGGGAGGATAGAGGGGAGGGGGCCTTGGCACTGAGCTTGCCTGATTCATGACCCAGCCACCTTTAGGGCTAGAAAGAGGGGGGGGAGGAGGAGGAAGGGGAAGGGGAGGAGAACTCTGGGCTCCCTGGTGCTCTTGGAGCACCGACAATGTTACCTACTTGGGCCAGGAAACGTTTGCAAGTAAAAAATAAACATTGCATGACCCGACTAGGGAACATTGTCAGTGCTAGAAGGGAGTGGGGTTGGCGGAGAGGAGGAGGAGGAGGAGGAGGAGGGGGGGGGGGGGGGGGGAAAGGGGGGGGGGTCCTTGATATTCTTTGAGCTGGGTGATTTTCTTGCAGACATTTCATCACCCAACTAGGTTATAACATCAGCGCTAGAAGGGAAGAGGGTTTCTGGGGTGGAAGAGGAGGTAGAGATGGGGGAGGCAGGGGAGGGGCAGGGGGAGGACAACGGTGGGGTCCTGGGTGCTCTCTGGGCTTGGTCGGGGCCTTTTTGCAGACGTTTCATGGCCCAATGGGAGGGAAGGGAAGGGCCTCCAGGGCGGGGAAGGCGGAGAGCCGTGGTCCCTTTGAGGCCCTGTGGACTTCAACGCCCGGCATTTCTAAGCTGAAGCCCACCCGTCCTACAGGGACCGCGGCCCCCCCACCCCGGCCCTGGGGCTAGAGCCCACTGACCCAGCCCTGGCGTGTCTCTTTGTCCCAGTTAAACCCAGTGCAAACCCAGCCCAGACCTTGCAAACGCACCCAGCTGGCTTAGAAAGCGGGCAGCGGCTCCCAACTTCATCCCGCGGTGGCGGCTCTGCCAAGCCCGCTCCAGATCCGCCGCCACTTAGCTGGCACCGCCAAGGGCTGAACCCGAGGCCTGGAATTGCCTCTGGCTCCCTTTCGTTGGGCTCTCGGCCCCTTGGGGGGCTGCAGGACGAGGCCCGGCAAACGCCACGGGGTGGGGGTGGGGGCAAACTCACCTTTCCTGGCTATTCCCGGGGTGGGGACCCCGATTGCCCAGGTGGGGAAGGCCAACTTCCTCCCTGCCCCCCAGGAGGGGACTTGGCCGCCTGCCTCCTCCTTACCTTCAGGATTTCGTACATGTAGAATCGGATATCAAAATCTGACAGCGTCTGATACAGTTGCTGTAGGGCAGAAGACGGGAAAGGGCGGTTAGCAAAAGACCCCCAGCCGCCCAGTACGAAAACGGGGCCAGGGGGACCCCCCCCAACCCCCGGGCTGGTTCTAGGGGGCTCTGGGGTTCAGGGCCCCGTTTTCTGCACTTGCATTGCTTTAATCTGGAGAGACTTTCCCCCACTGGCCCTGCTCTCTTCTCCAAGGCCCCCGAAGGCCAGACGAGGAATCATAACGGACGGAAACTGAGCAAGGGGAGATTCAGGCCGGAAATAAGGAGGAACTTTCTGACAGGGAGAACCATCCACCCATGGAATAGAAGCTGCCTTCGGACATTGGGGGAGCTTCTTCGTCCCTGGAGGCTTCCAAGAAGAGACTGGACTGCCCTCGGTCAGAAATGGGGTAGGGTCTCCTGCTTGGGTGGGTGGGGGTTAGACTAGATGACCTATAAGGTCCCTTCC